AACATCTGGTCCCGTTGATTTGTGGTTCGGTAGGCCTGCTATGACTTGTGTGATTTCCTCTAAGGCAATGGGTAGTTTTAATGTCTGCACATCAGTTTGTGTCAAGGAAGGTAGGTTTAGGTTGGCTAAAAACCTGTCTGTGTCCTCTATCAAAGGGATAGTCGTATATTTGTCATCTCTCAGGTTGTACAATTTGTGGTAGTATGATGCAAACTCACTGACAATTTTCCCAGGATCAATGATTTTGTGACCTTGGTCATCTTTGAGGTAGGCAATCCTGGAGGCAACCATTTTTTGTTTGAGCTGTTATGCCAACTTGGCTCCAGCTTTGTTCCCTGCTGCAAAGAATTTGTATTTGGACTTTTGAAGGAGGTAAGTGGTTTTAGTTAGTTCTATGTCTCTTAATTTAGTATGTAGTTGAAGTAGGGAGCATTGTATATCAGGAGATGGGGAGTGCTTGTTACTGTGTGTCATTAAATGGATCTCGTTGCACATGTCACATATAGCACGCAGACTAGCCAAAACGGTAAACTTGTTAAAACCAGCAATTAACCTGCAACAAATGAAAGGTCTAGCAATTACTTCTCTTGTTGTTTATTGCTCTCCAACCAACATGTGCCTAGCCAGTTTTCTTAACCAAAATTTGTGCGTTTTTAAAACACGGCAAGCGAATTGTACAAGCCTGTCGATCTCACATGATGCCTCAAGCTAGTCGCACTAATTTAGCTTAAACCATATTGTTGATAGCTTGTTTGCTGTATCGTTACCCTTTTCACTTTAACCCCTTAAGGACTGGACTGTTTTTGCGATGTTGTACATTTGCGACCAGGCATATTTTTACACTTTTGTGGTGTTTGTGTTTGGCTGTAATTTTCCGCTTTCTCATTTACTGTTCCCATACAAATTATATATTGTTTTTTTCAGGACAAAAGGGGCTTTCTTTACATACCATTATTTATATAATCTCATGTATTTTAATTTAAAAAAAATACAAAAATCTGATGAAAAATTGAAAAAAATACATGTTTTTTGACTTTTACTTGAAAAATCTTTTACTCATCTACAAAAGCGAATGAAAAAAACTGCTAAATAGATTCAAAATTTTGTCCTGAGTTTAAAAATACCTAGTGTTTACGTGCTTTTTTGCTTTTTTTTGCATGTTATAGGGCTATAGGTACAAGTAGGATATTGCAGTTTCAAAACATACATTTTTAAAATGTATCAATAGTGACATTGTAACACTATTATCTGTCATAAATCTCTGAATAACACCCACATGTACATATTTTTTTTAAAGTAGACAACCCAGGGTATTCAATATGGGGTATGTCCAGTCTTTTTTAGTAGCCACTTAGTCGAAAACACTGGCCAAAGTAAGCATTCATATTTGTTTGTGTGTGAAAAAAGTAAAAAAACTAAATTGAACGCTAATTTTGGCCAGTGTTTGTGACCAAGTGGTTACTAAAAAAGACTGGACATACCCCATTTGCAATACCTTGGGTTGTCTTCTTTTGCAAATGGTATGCCATCATGGGGGTAATTCTCATTCCTGGGCTACCATACGCTCTCAAAGGCAACGTAACCAACCTGGCCATTTTCAATGTAAATATATTTGACCCATATATTTGACCTTGTAACTTTCAAAAATGCTATAAAACCTGTACATGGGGGGTACTGTTTTACTCGGGAGACATCGCTGAACACAAATATTAGTGTTTAAAAACTGGAAAACGTATCACAACAATTATATCATCAGTAAAAGTGCTGTTTGTGTGTGAAAAATGCAAAAAAAGTAACTTTCACTGACAATATCATCGCTGTGATATGTTTTACTGTTTTGAATCACTAATATTTGTGTTCAGCGAAGTCTCCCGAGTAAAACAGTACCCCCCATGTACAGGTTTTAGGGTGTCGTAGAACGTTACAGGGTAAAATATAGTGCTAGCAAATTAAATTCTCTGGAATTTCGGCCTGGGTTGGCAGGCAGGTCCCTCAAATTGCAATCAATAAAATTACTGAATTATGTAAAAATATTACATAAATACGCACGTAGAATTTAAATATATATGCATATTTATATATTTGAAGTCTACGTGTATATTTATATAATTATTTATGTAATTTTGTATATGGACGTATGTATATTTCTTATTATTTTTATTTATTTTTATATACATAGATATATATACAAATTCATTCTAAGTGTATTTTGATATAAATATATATATATTAATTTTAAAATACAGTTAGAATAAAATTTCATATAGCTATATCATTTTTTTAAAATTTTTTATTATTATTTTAAAAAAAATTTATTTAATTTAAATTACTTATTATTTATATTTTATAATAATATATATATACAATATATATAGTTATTATATATATTATATATATACATGTGTAATTTAATTATAAGTGTATTTTTATATTAATATAAGTACATATTAATATAAAAATACACATAGTATGACATTATATATATATGATATATAGACATATATTATATAGATATAATATATGTCTATATATCATATATACACATATATAATTAATTATTTATTTTTTTAATTAACATTAACTTTATTTTTTTTCTGATTTTACACATGCAGGGAGACTGCCTGTCAGCACAGGCAGTCCCCCTGCAGGCAGACACATGGACACCTATTGTGACCATGTGATCGCTGTGTTAAGCGATCACATGGCCACAGGGGTCCTAATCTGCCGTGGGGAGACTGTCTGGGCTGCAGGCAGTCTCCCCACAACCGGAGCCACGCTGATCGCCGCCGGGGGAAGGACGGCGAACAGGTAAGTAGCTCTGACCGTTAGGACGGTTCAGGACCGTCATCGGTCGGCAACGCAAAAATGCCGATGACGATCCTGAACCGTCCTCGGTCCTTAAGGGGTTAAAAAAAAAAGTATGCATATCCAACTTGCCACAATACTGCTATCATATGTCTATAAAAAATCGAGCCTGCTAATGCTGTTGTGGCGACACAGGCACTGTTGTAACTACCTGCATACCATAAATAAAGAATTATATAAATGGATCTCGTTGATAAGGCTGCACTTGCCGGGATCTCTTAATATGGCTAGCATGTTTAATAAAGCTGCCTCTGATGACAGCTTTATGTGCTAACCATATGATATCTAGATTAGAGTCTGGGCGTGATTCTCTGCAAAGTAGTGTGACTTGTGTTATTATATATGGGTCATTGAGCAATGATTGGTTCAGTCTCCAGGAGGGTGGACCACTGGTGGGGAATCTGTCCCTGATTGTCAGCATAATAGGAGCGTGGTCTGACCACGAGATGATGCCAATATCAGTGTCTAGTACTTTTGTGAGGGATGTAGTTTTGATTAAAAATCTGTCGATTCTGGAGTAGCTGTGGATTTGGTGTGCTGTGGTGTGGCATGTAAAGTCAATCTTGGAGGGGTGTGTGATTCTCCATGGGTCTACATAGTTGTGTGTTAGGAGAGTGTTGCATATATTTTGGGATTGAGATAGCTGTTTCTTCGAGGTGGCAGAGGTCACAGTGTCTTTAATGCTGACAAGTCTTTAATGCTGTCTAAGAGAAAGTTGGTATCGCCTCCAAGTATTACCTCCCCAAAGCTATACAGATTCAGTAGTGCAAAAACCTGAGTGATAAACGTTTCTTGGTTTTCATTAGGCCCATATATGTTCATTAATGTATAGGGATTGTTGTTAAGGATAAGGTATCTACCCTTCTTGTCACTAATTTTATGGACTAGTTCAAAGGTGACCGTTTTACTCACTAGGATAGAAACCCTTTTTTTTCTCCGGTGTAACAAGTGTCGTGATCTACAGAAAACCAGGGAGAGTTTAACTTAGGCCTGGAGCCCCATTTGAAATGTTTTTCCAGGAAGAAGGCTACTTGTTCCTTTTGTTTCTTGGCCTCCAGGATTGCCAAGTGCCCTTTATTAGGCAAATTTAGCCCTTTCATGTTCATGGAGAGTATTTTAATTGACATCTTGTCTATGGGTGCTGGGTGGGGTGGTGTAGGGATGGATGTCCCGTATCTGTCAGTAGCGCCTTATTTCAGGTCCCTCGTGGATGTGTGGTGGGTAGGATGGGGTAGGTTTGGGCACCGGGAATAAACTAACAATAACTATATACAGTGGCCCGTTAGCCGAGTGGGCATAGTGACGTGAACTGCAAACGGGTAATGTTTAGCCCAGTAGATAAGCCATGTAGGGTTACGTGGGTGTAGGTATATCACTCAGCCGTTAAATGGTTCTGTAAGGTGGTCGGTTCGACAGTTGTCGAGAATGGGTTACAATATGGAACCTGACTTCGGAACCACCTTGGCATTCAGTCTTTCTAATTATCACTATACGATATACCAGTTTCAGAGGTAAGTTTAGTAATACAAATCTGGCAAGTTGAACAGAGTTCTTATCCGCCGTGTGTGGACTCTTGGCTGTGAATCACATTGGGGATGAAGTCAGCCGCGAGAAGACACAACTTGTTGGACCCAAGTCTCTTTTCAGCTATGTAACTATGTAACGGGAGCATAAAGTGTCAACAATAACGTGTTATATACATATCTGGTGATTCTTATCGGTGGTCAGTGATGTTACATCTGTGCGAGCGGGGGTTGCGGCACCTCGGTTTCTTGTGGGTATGTCATGTGCCATGGGATCACTTGCAAGTCTCTGGTGAGTTTTCTGGGTGGTGATGCTGTGGGTGATCTGGAGGTGGCAGGATAGGCGGTAGGTATATTCCAGTCCTTGAGTAGTTTCATGCTGTCGTTCGGTGTTCTTCAGTATGAGTTTTGCAGGGAATCCCCATTTATACGGGATAGCGGCTGAGCACAGTGCTGCTGTGATAGGTGCAAATGCTCTCCTTTTGTACATAGTGGTCGCTGAAAGGTCTGTGAACAATTTTATTTCCGTGAATGGATCTGGAAGCGGAGTGGTAGCGGTTAGGGTCGCTTGAAAAGTTGGTCTTTCACTGTAAAGTAATGTACTCTGGTAATGACGTCTCTTGGGGTAGAGGTCGGTAGGTGTCTAGGTTTTGGTAGACAGTGGGTACGGTCTAAGCGGATGTCTGCAGTCTCTAGTGTCGGAAAAAGCACCCTGAACAGATCTTGGACAAGTTTAGTGAGGTCTTGGGGCCTATTGTTTCAGGGAGCGCAGTGTGTGCTTCTGCAAGCTCATTGTGTGCCTCCATGAGCCCCTCCACTTTCTCCTCAAGGTGAGCAGTCCTGTCACCTAGGGCCTGTATGTCGGCCCTTATGTCTGACGCCATTTTGGAGAAGTCTGCTCTCAAGCTGGCTTGTAGTGAGCGCACCATGGTACTCACGGACGCATCTGTAGCAGGCTGTATGCTGGGGGTGCTCGGCATATCCTGGCTGTCCCTGGTGTCAGGGTCCGATGTGGGGGAGTTTGGTCCGCCGGCGCTATCTTGGTCGCTGTTATACACCATGTGCAGTTTGTGCAGATGGAAACTCAGGGTTTTTTGTTTGTTTTTTGTTGGATTTGGTGGACATCTTGCCCCTGGTGTTCTCAGCAGCTTGCTTTCGTGTTTGTTTGTCAGTGGTGCAGTGTATCACGCTGTGCAGTCCACAGTTTGGCGGAGCTCGCAGTTTATGCAACTGCTTCCATGCGGTGTCAGGCCACACCCCCTGGTATTCTATTTTTAAAGTTAAAAGTAATATAGAGTTCATTGGTCTACCTGCAGGAATGGAATTATGAATTCTATACACCCCGTTCCAAATTATTATGCAAATGATATTTTTCTCATTTACCTAAATAATTGATGTAAATAACAGTCAGCATAATTCTCATGTTATCAACTATTAAGAGTACAATTCAAATTTTATTGAACAAACCTCCTAATGATAACAGTATTTTTTTTAAACATAAACTTACAATGCACTGTTCCAAATTATTACACACAGTAAGTTTCAAAACACTTTATAGGTTGTAAAGAACTGAAAATTGTCATTTGTTGTGTTTGCAGCATATTTACTGAAATCAAAAGCTATTTCAATCAAACTTATAACAACATTTTAACTTTTTCAACATTTTAACAGGTCACGTTACATTTTAACATAGGACCCCTTATTTGATAACAGCTTCACAAGTCTTGCATCCATTGAACTTGTGAGTTTTTGGACAGTTTCTGCTTGAATTTGTTTGCAAGATGTCAGAATTGCCTCCCAGAGCTGCTGTTTGGATGTAAACTGCCTCCCACCCTCATAGATCTTTTGCTTGAGGATGCTCCAAAGGTTCTCATTAGGATTGAGGTCAGGGGAGGCCACACCATGACTTTCTCTCCTTTTATCCCCATAGCAGCCATTGACGCAGAGGTATTCTTTGCAGCATGAGATGGTGCATTGTCATGCATGAAGATGATTTTATTACGGAAAGCATAGTACCAGGGAAGAAAGTGGTCAGTCAGAAACTCCTCATACTGCAGAGGTCATCTTTACACCTTCGGGGACCCTAAAGAGGCCGACCAGCTCTCTTCCCATGATTCCGGCCCAAAACATATATTTGCTGCTATGTAATGGTATTTTAGCAGCTGCTCTGTTGATCCGATTCATCGATCTGGCAGAAATCTCAATGTGCATTTATCTGCACAAACCCGTCTGTGCTCTGAATCAGCCCCAAATTTCTTAATAAAAAAAATGAGAAAGGTTAGCGCTAATAATAAAAGGATGAGGAGGCAGCAGCCTAATAGGGGGTCACCCTCTGACCCTCTATAGTGAGAATGTACAAGAAAACAGAGAAGAGGCTGCGCCAAAATGCTAAACAAATAAAATAAAAATGTAAAAAAAGAGTCCCAGTAGAAAATAATAGGAAAAATAATAGTTCCAATATTAAAAGTTGTTCAAACTGGTATGGTGTCTTCTATGTTAGCAGTCGTCTGTCTCACGATATGAAAGACACAATGGGAAAAGAACCAGTCGTGCAGATTGTATAAATATATGATGGTGAAATTAAAATATAAATTGTGCACTCACATTTCCATGAGCTAGGACTAGCTCTAGTGTGATGGGCATACAGCGGATAACCCTCCGCTTACGGGGGTGCTTGTCCTCCTGGGGAGTGCTGATGTCCAGTTCTCAAAGGAAGAGAAAAACAGCAAATAGTGCGCTCTGATGAGGTAGTTGATAAGAGGTTATAAAATAAATAAAATATACTCACAAATAGAGTGCAGTCCTTTCTGCACTTTGTATATCGCGTGGGTGGTATAATCCCCACCTTAGGATATGCCAGGAACAGTAAATGAAGATAAAATAGTAAAAAAGTATAAATAATATAAAGAGATTTATTAATATAGAATATTAAAACCAATAACGCGTTTCGCCTTGGAGGCTTTATCAAATTGGGGTAGTGTTAGTACCTGGCACATAAGGAGTTTATATAACTTATGTATAAATTCAAAATTGGCGCCAAAATTGGTCACCAGTTGAAGCTATGCAAATTATAAATAAAACATATACAGTCAAAAATTACAAAATAATGTACAATATTAATATATTAAAACATACAATGGTATTTATATGCATATAATATAAAAATGAAAGTTATTTGGTGTGTATAACCACAAAATAAATAATTCGCGTGCGTCACGTGACCCGCTAAGCACTATGGGATATGTAGTGCCTGGGTCACGTGATCGCACATAGTAAATGAATAATAAGCCGTCCGTGCGGCCAGTACAGAAGGAGGCGGCACGCACGGGCGGCAGGGTGGGGTTAGGCTATGTCACGTGACCCGCGATGTCGCATAGCCCTAATCCCCGCGGGTCACGTGACTAAAGCCGAGGGAATTGTGGGATTTGTAGTGATAAAAACATAAATGGAAAAATACATAAAATATAATACAAGATGAATAAGATATAAAAACATTTGTTACAGGATGTTACAGTATATTGTAAAAACATAAGTACAGCCAGATTTGAGTGAATTGCAAAATATAAATAGCAAAAATAAATAAATAAATAATAAAAAAATCAACTAAAAAAAAATAAAAAAATATATAAAATAAAATCCAAAAATAATATGGATAAGAAGCAGTACAATTATAAAAAAATTGAATAAATCAAAATCTATATTTAGACCTTGGGGCGTTAGGGTCTGTAAATTAAATACCCATTCCATCTCAAATCTACCAAGAATATTTTTTATATTTCCACCTCTCCAGGGTACTTGACATTTTTGGATTCCTAAACATTTGAGAAATTTTGGATCTTGATTATGATTAATAAAGTGTTTAGATACAGAATGATTCAAATATCCATTTCTTATGTTCCTACAATGTTCTGCTAATCTTATCTTTAGACATCTGGTGGTCATACCCACATATTGGAGGCCACAAGGGCACTCCAATAGATAAATAACGTTGGTAGTATTACACCCAATAAAAATTTTTATAGTGTAACTTTTATTGGTTTGATTAGATTTAAAAATAGTTGTTTTGGATTTGGTTGTTGGATCAGTATTTTTACATACAGTACAACGATTGCATTTATAAAAACCTTTAGCCCCATCTAAAAAAGTGTGATTAGTATTTTTGATTTCTTTGGTGTAATTGTTAGTTAAGATGGATCTAAAATTAGGTGCCCCTCTAAAAACAATTTTTGGCTGAGTTGGTAAAATTTCTTTAAGTAGATCGTCTTGTCTTAAAAGATGCCAATGTTTTTTAACTGTAAAAATTATAGGTAGATTAGGGGCTTCTAGACTATTTTTTTCTTTATACATTAGAAGGCTTTCCCTAGGTTTGTTTCTAACTGTTTCTATAGTGTTGTCCAAAAGTGTACAAGAATAATTCTTTTCAATAAATTGCTTCTTTAAAATCAGTGATTTATCATTGAAATCATTTATTTGGGAGCAATTATGGCGTATTCTTAAGAATTGGCTTTTGGGGCGCTTTCAAGCCATGGTTTATAATGGCAACTAGTTTGGTCAATTGCAGTGTTAGTACATACTTTTTTGAAAAAGGTTTTCGTATGTATTTTGCCATCTTTGATAAAAATATTTAGATCTAAAAAATTAATTGAATTTTTGCTATATTCACAAGTTAAGATAATACCTCTATTATTAGAATTAAGATGGGATATAAAAGAGTTCAAACATTCTTCGGAGCCCTTCCATATAAAAAACAGATCATCAATATACCTAAAATAGGAGACCAGGTTTTGCTCCCAGGCATGCCGTCCCCAAATGGCGGTGGTTTCCCAATCCGCCATGAAGAGATTGGCATAACTAGGAGCAAACCTGGTCCCCATAGCTGTCCCTCTCTTCTGGAGATAAAAAGAATCATAAAACCAGAAATAATTGTTATTTAAAATAATATTAATACCATCAACAATAAAATCAATCTGAGCGGCTGGGATTTTGTTTTCACTTGATAAAATAGTTTTGACTGCATTGTATCCAAGTTGATGAGGGATGATGGTGTACAGAGACGTAACATCACAGGATACAAGTATAAAATCTGACTCCCATTTAAAACTATTTAAAAATCTCAATAATGACATAGAATCCTTTAAATAAGACCTCATTAATTTAACCGATGGCTGAAGCAAAATGTCAATGTATTGGGATAAATTACACAAAGGAGAGCTTATCCCAGATACTATCGGTCTTCCTGGAGGGTGTTTTGCATCTTTATGTATTTTAGGTAGGAAATAAATGACCGGAATTTTAGGGTTCTGAATAAATAAGCAATCAAATTCTTTTTTGTTCAAGATATTGTCATTTAAACCCTTTTGTAAAAAAATGTTTAATTTCTGCTGTATATTAGAGGTAGGATCTTTAGTTAATTTTTCATATACATCAGTATCATTTAGTTGTTTGTAAGCTTCTTTGATGTACATGTCAGTTGATTGGATTACAATACCTCCACCTTTATCAGCCGGTTTGATTACTATTTCTTTGTCCTCTTGGAGTTGTTTAATGGCTGTTTTTTCCAATATATTTAGATTTTGAGTATCAGATTTATTAAATTTAATCTTGTTAAGATCTCTTAAAACAGATTTTTCAAACATCACCAAAGGGGCTGATTTAAAATGATATGGGTAAAATATAGATCTAGGTTTAAGATTTGTATTAATAAAAGTAGATTGATCCGTAGGCTGGGAAAGGGGAGGATTAGTGTCTGAGGTCTGTGCTTTAAAAAATCTTTTTAGCGTGCGATGATCACGCTTACGTTTTCGTGAAATAGCTAATGTTTTCACACCTCGT